AGGCAGAGGTTCCAGTGAGCCGAGATCGCACCAGTACACTCCAGCCTGGGTGACATAGAAAGACTCTGTCTCAAAAAAAAAAGGGGGGGGGCGCTGGGCGTGGTGGCTCACGCCTGTAATCCCAGCACTTTGGGAGGCCGAGGCGGGTGGACCACAAGGTCAGGAGATTGAGACCATCCTGACTAACACGGTGAAACCCCGTCTCTACTAAAAATACAAAAAATTAGCCTGGCGTGGTGGCGGGCGCCTGTAGTCCCAGCTACTTGGGAGGCTGAGGCAGGAGGATGGCATGAACCTGGGAGGCGGAGGTTGCAGTGAGCCAAGATCGCACCACTGCACTCCAGCCTGGGCGACTGAGCAAGACTCGGTCTCAAAAAAAAAAAAAACAGAATAGTATGTTTCTCCCATGGTTGTGACATTCGAGTGAGCCAGTACACATAAAACAGTGCCTGGTTTTTTGTAGGGTTCATTGACTTTTCCAGAATCTCCCAACAGAACCAGGCCCTGGACTCCAGGTGTTTACTCCCAGCTCAGTGCTTTTTCCTTTCTGTGAAGCTGACCCTGCCAGTAGCTTCCTTGTACCTGCCAAATTCTGTCCTGCAAACAGTGTCCCATGAGTCCTGGCTGTGGGAACAGGGCATTTGGCCTGGAACAGCCTCAGGAGTGTGATGGGATCTTGACCTTGGACTTGGCTGGCCTGTCCCAGGGCAGAGGGAGTGGGGTGCGCTGTGTGGCCCCAGCTGAGGAATCAGCTAAGGGATCCAGGGAGGCAGGTGGGGTGCAGCGTGAGGAGGTGACTCCAGCAGCGCCACCTCGCTGGGCCTGTGGTTTTGAGCGTTCCTTAGAGTCAATTTTCTTTAGGTGTGAAATGAGAGTTACAGCAGCCCAGCACCTGGCGCGTCGTGAGTGCGGGGTTGAAACTAGCCGGGTATTAGCCGTGGTCCCTGGTGAGTGACTCAACTCCTTCCAGCCCGGGCTGCACCTGCTCATCTGCCAGCTGAGGGCTGGGGTTGGAGATGGAGACAGGGTGAGGAGGTACAGGAGCTTGGAAACTTGGAGCTGGCATTTTTTTCCTGAAGGGCCTCAGAGTCCTCATCTGTTAGTAAGGATTATTCCTCTCTTTCCTTCATTGGGTGTTCTCGAGCGCCTGCTGTGAGCCAGGCCCTGTTCTAGGCTCTAGGGTTATAGCAGCCAAAACAGAGCCCTGCCTCCTGGGAGTTGCGTTCTAGCATGGGAGAAAGGTGATGGATGAATATTAGGCCTAGGGGCAGGTGGTAGCAGGTGCTCAAAAGAACACAAGTGGAGTTCAGTGAGTGAATTGTGTGGTATGTGAATTACATCTCAATAAAGCCACAGAGCGAAGGAGCTTGCATAGATAAGTGGGGAGCTATTTAGATAGGGTCACTGAGGACGGCTTTTAGGAGGAGATCTGAAATAAACGGGGGAGCAGCAAGCGCAGAGGTCCTGAGCGGAAGTGCGGGGCATGTCTGGAACGCCCAAGGAATGGCATGAGGGCCAGTGTGCCTGGAGCAGAGTAGGGGAGGGGAGAAGTCAGAGAGGGACAGGCCAGCACCTGTGAGGGCTGAGCTGTCAGGGGGTGGGGGGTGGGGGGTGGAGTGTGGCCCAACAAGTGTCAGCGAATCCCCTGGAGGCAGAGCCCAGGGACAAGGTGGTCCAGGTGAGAGGGGATGTTGGATGGGGCTGGGGGTGAGGGGGTGAGAAGTGACTGGACTCTGGGTGTATGTCACTGGGAGCTGGGTCAGGATTTCATGGACAGCACAGCAGCCGCTCCTACGGCTCTGGTAGGCTCCTCTGGGAGCACCCAGCGAGAGGTCATCCAGGGCCCAGCTCTCTGGAAGCTCAGTCGTGGGAGTTGCCAGATTTTCTTCTGATCATGACACTCTTACGATGACTTGGACTTGTGACCCCTGCACGAAGGCAAAGACCTGAGGGCCATCGACTCGGGACAGTCTTCCCTGTCTTAGTAGCTGTTTTTTTTTTTTTTTTTGGCTCATGCATAACAGTGGCAGGGACTTAGTGCCCTTTGGACTTTTTTTTTTTTCTTTTCTTTTTGGTTGTTTTTACAAACAGCTCATTGAGATAAAGTTCACAGTTCGCTCATTGAAGGATGTAATTCAGTGCTTTTCAGCATGGATTGTGCAACTATCACCACAATCAAATGTTAGAACATTTTCGTTACCCAAAAAGAAGCCCCGACTGGCACGGTGGCTCACGCCTGTAATCCCAGCCCTTTGGGAGGCCAAGGCAAATGGATCTCTTGAGGTCAGGAGTTCGAGACCAGCCTGGCCAACATGGTGAAACCAAGGCTCTCCTAAAATTAGAAAAAATGAGCTGGGCGTGGTGGCGGGCACCTGCAGTTCGAGCTACTCGGGAGGCGGAAGCAGGAGAATCACCTGAACCTGGGAGGCAGAGGTTACAGTGATCTGAGATAGTGTCACTGCACGCCAGCCTGGGTGACAGAGCAGAGAGCAAGACTCTGTCTCAAAAAAAAAAAAAAAGGAAACCCTGTACCTATTTGCAGTGAGTCCCATTCCCCCAACTCCTCAGTGCTGATCTCCTCTCGGTCTCTGTGGATTTGCCTATTCTGGACATTGCATAGAAATGGGATTGCACAATGGGTGGCCTTTTGTGACTGGCTTTGGTCGCTTAGCAGAATGTTTTTGAGGCTCGTCCATGTTGTAGCAGATAGCAGAACTTTATTCCTTTTCATTGCTGAATAATATTCCACTGTGTGGATGGTCCACATTTTGTTGATCTGTTCATCCATTAAGGACCTTTGGGTTGTTTCCACCTTCTGGCTGTTGTGAATAATGCTGCTAGGAACGTTTGTGTACAAGTATTTGAGTACCTGTTTCCAGTTCTTTTGGGTATATACCTAGGAGTGGAATTGGTAATTCATTGGCCATGGAGTAATTATTTAAAACTTGAGGCCGGGCTCAGTGGCTCACGCCTGTAATCCCAGCACTTTGGGAGACTGAGGCGGGTGGATCACCTGAGTTTGAGAGTTTGAGACCAGCCTGACCAACGTGGAGAACCCCATCTCTATTAAAAATACAAAATTGGCCAGGCACGGTGGCTCAAGCCTGTAATCCCAGCACTTTGGGAGGCTGAGACGGGCAGATCACGAGGTCAGGAGATCGAG